TCTACAGCATACTCTATAGCAATTTATACTCTGTTTTACAATGAATAAAAATTATTATTTATTAATGTAGTAATTTATACTATTTATTGTTATCGTTGTTCGGAAGACAACTTAGAGCAAAGGACGGTAGATATATTATGAATTAATAAGTAATCATTTAAATGGAGACATAGATTATTATCAAAAATAGAGTTTACAAAAAATAGAGAGCTTCTCGAAATCTAACTTTATGCTTTAGGTAACGAACGTAAGTTTGATCACATTTTCACGAGTGTAAATCGGCGTTTAATATATTTATATATTCCCGTTATATATATAAAAAGTAACATACCTTACTATTTGTAAATTGCTTAAAAAATAGAATAGCGATATATATGTATGCAGCTTATCTCACAGCTCACGATTGGTAAGATTTTGTCGTGAGTGCGCGTATTTATGCTTGTTTTTATTTTCATTGCGCGTAAAATGTCTTTTACAGTATAAATATAAGCTTATATAAGCACACACAGTTTGCGTTTTATTTTTCTCTTAAATATTAAAACAAATTGACTATCTCCGCTTTTTTAAATACATGAAGTCCTGAAACATAGAAGAATATTATAATGAACATGTTAGATATTAAAATTATATATAACATAATTATATATCGTATTTATATATTACTATCTTTTATAATTTTAATATTTTTTCTTTACGTGATATATTTAATTCATTTTTCTCTCTTTGTATTTTTCTTTCAAACAATCGATCGTTTGTGGTATTCTAAGTAATACTCACTATAAGAAAACATGCTCCTAGTAGCACGGCCTTTATATTTACGTCGAGATCGCGCGGGAAATTAATGCCAAACATATTGGAAATGGTAAAAAAACCGCTCTGTTCGTGCTGGATCTTACCGACGAGATGCTGTCCATCTATGGATTTGACCTGCAGATTTAATCAGATTCGAAGAATCTTAATTCTTTTTGTACAACTTTAGTCGCAGATTTCATTATAATCAAATACTCGCTAAATTTATATTCGCAAATATTGTGTGTGTTATTCCTTATCATTCATTGAGAATCTTGATTCTTTAAGTTTTTAAAAACTTTTAATTCTTAATTTTAGACAAAACTATATTCTATATATAATAATAACAATATATTAATTATAATTATATATTGTAATTATAGAGAAAATCAAAGAAAAAAAGAAACTAAAATTATCTTTTAAATGAATTTAATTAAGTATTATTATTATTATTTTAAGTGGTAAGTTATCCATTATTTCTACTAACATTTATTTATTATTTTTATTAATAGAAATTATAGGATTAAAGACAGAAATTTCATAAAGAAAAAATAGAGTTAACGATTAATTAAAATTTTCGTGAGTTTACAAACAATTAAATAACACAAACTTAATAAAATTTAAAATGTTGTAATACCTCAAAATCTACATGAAGAGAGAAATGGATAATTGGTCTTATCATTAACACCGGTTGGCCGGATGTATTGCGAATATAGAGTTTCTGTCGCCAGACACTCCATTCTTCAGTAACGCTGCCTAGCAGAGTGTTTCCTGAATAAACCTCTAAAACCTGCACAATTATTTATTATTATTTCCCGAATACACCTCCAAGATAATTTCAGTCATCTATTAATCAAACACTAGTAATAACAAGAAATAAATCATTTATTCATTTTTTAAATTAAATATTCTAGTATTTAAATTTTTAAATTAAATTTATCGATAATCGGAAATTTTCTTTATTTGAAGAATGAATATAAAGATTGGACAGGAAAATCGACATTGTCGTTTTCTCTTTAAAACGTATTGATCGGTTTCTTTGGCGGTGCGGGCGAACTTTTGTCAAAGGTAACGCTGGCAGATGGCTTGCATGCGTAAAGAAACTTTGGCATACACAGACAACAGTAGTTCTCATTCCGCTTCTAAATCTTGCTTTTAGATTTATTATTATCGTTATCTCTAATATTGTCTTTCTCCTATTTATATCTGAGAATTTTATAAATAAGCTTGAGAGATCAACCATGATTTTTATATTCAAAGTTTTCTTAAAATTTTCAAAATATTTAATCTAAAAATTTGCTATTAAATAATAACAACCAATCTTTTTTAAAAAGAAAAATTGATTTCAAATTATTATTTCCATTACTTTTTTTGTTTATACTTTAGGATTAAAGAATATCTAAAAATAAATTTCAAGAGCCATCAATAATTTTATACATAAATTTATAAATAATAACCAAATTTTTTTCTTTCTTTGATTAATGTTATTGCTTTCGCAAAAATTAATGATAATAATTGTAATTGTATTCTAATAATCCAAGATTTTAAATTGATTGTCATAAATGATAGCAAACCAGTTGATTTTTCGTAGAAAGACAAGTTTTGTTCGAGTAAGCTACCGGTAAATAGCAGGGACAGCAGCAACTGTCGATTCTAACGGAACGAATAATCATATGCAGGACCTCCCGCCGATCTCGATCGAAGAAGTTGAATTCGTAGGAATGGTCGTTGCTCAAGATCAATCGCCAAGAAATGTTCGATTTTCTGACCACATAAAATATAGGTTCGCCGCGGATGTTCGTAACAGTGTACCTATTTATAGTCTCCGTGTCGGTTAAAGCTGCAATCCGAAGAGATATAATGCGAAAAATGTATATATAATATAATATTATAAAATATAAAACATGTAATACATAATACGTAATTAGTAATACATTTTTTTCACTGGCGCTAAATGATTAAAAAATAAGATATTATCTAAATCGCGATTGTGTAATTTATATAATATGTTTTTCCGTAAATATTTTTCTCAGAATGAAAATATAATAATTCAATTGTACATATAATAATTATTTACGTTAATTATACATACAAATATAAAAAATCTATTGCTATCGCGAGAAATAAATACATGTGTGGTTCCGTTTACTCGAACAGTTAATCGTGAATGTTATTCTCGACGAGTTTCGCGGATCTCGAATACATGTACTCACGCTCGCAAAGAAGAATCATTTTATTTTTGTCTCTTAATAAAGCCGAGTGCTCACCTTCAAGCAACTCAAATTTCTGGTTCACGGAAAGGTAATCAAGCTCCATAAGGTATTGTAAGCCGGGTGGATATATCGTACTCGGCGGCAGCCAGCCACCTGAAAAAATGACGCTCGATAAGCGATGATGTTGACCTACTATCCATTATTCGTAAATAACAATACTTGATATAAATCTTTTAAGATCCGAGAAATGTATAAATAGTCATATGATCGTATAGTCATAATCCTATCAAAAAGCGGTCATAAATGTGTAAGTGTAATAAATAAATTTATAAAATCCATCCGTAAAATATATTATCCGTATAATATTATTTTCAATTAAAGATTACATAATACTATTAATTGCCATAAACGTGCTATTATCTTGGAACGCATCTGTCTCATGATTGCGCTTAATTACAGTAATTCTGATAAGAAGAAATGTCCTCTTATCAGAATTATACGAATGCGTAATCCTCCATCGGCAATCTCTTAATCCAGATATTGTTCTATAATTGTGGTTTGCCACGTGAAATTCGAGCATCGTCTCGATCATGCGAACCAGAGTAAAAGTATGATCTACGGATGGTGTACGTAATATAATAGTTGGCCGCACCGTTTGCCGAGAGCGATGATCAATATAAAGTAGATAATGGTCGTCTGCGTTGTGTATCATCATCCAGACTGTCGTATTCATCGTTATCGTTCGTAACTGAAACGACGGAGCTGAATTTTCCGGCCTTCGGGTATATTGCGTTCCCCTCGCCGCGCGTGTTGTTGTTTTGCAGAGATAATACAATATTTTGCAGAGATATAAATATTTCAAATACATATAAAAACATGAAATATATATACGACGACGATCATTTAATCAAGTTTAGATCGATGATAACCGCAACAAATAACTAGCATTCTTGCTCCTTAATGTTTTAAAAATTCAAAAGAATATTTTTATGCTAGCTAACTGCGATCTTAAAATGGCGCCAGGAAATGTTAATCCTGTTAAGCGACGACGAAGAATTGCCAGGTCAACTAAATTTTTTTCCTTATCTAGATTCGAGCAGGGGACGAGAAAAGAGCAGAGAAACGCGATAATAAGGCTAAACTAACTGATACCATCGTGTGGTTGACCCTAAATATTAACGTGTTAAGTGAGGAAGATTTTCATTCTCTTACATTTGCAGAGATAATACAATATTTTGCAGAGATATAAATATTTCAAATACATATAAAAACATTAAATATATATATATACGACGATCATTTAATCAAGTTTAGATAACCGCAACAAATAACTAGCATTCTTGCTCCTTAATGTTTTAAAAATTCAAAAGAATATTTTTATGCTAGCTAACTGCGATCTTAAAATGGCGCCAGGAAATGTTAATCCTGTTAAGCGACGACGAAGAATTGCCAGGTCAACTAAATTTTCTTCCTTATCTAGATTCGAGCAGGGGACGAGAAAAGAGCAGAGAAACGCGATAATCAGGCTAAACTAACTGATACCATCGTGTGGTTGACCCTAAATATTAACGTGTTAAGTGAGGAAGATTTTCATTCTCTTACATTTTATTCGGAGTTATACATATAATGCAGAATCTAATCTGGTCGAAATCAATTAAATATGGTTTTCGAACGATTTAATAAAATCATCTCACAATTTAATTAAATCCTCAACATACATAAATCTTCAACACAAGAGAAATCGTAAAATAATAACGTGCATCCGTAAATTCATTTTCTTGCACGTGTTTAAACTTAACTCGGATCTTGAAGCGCCAGAAGAAAATCCTTGGACATCAAGAATAATCTCTGGCTCTTACCTGGTGATAATACTGGCGCATTTGGTTGCAACGGTGCTGTTACGACCGGCTGCATTTCCACCCTCGGCTGCGGGGGATTCGATGCTGGATACTTTTGTTCATTCATTCTTCTTCTTTCGGCTTACCCTCATGATTTACCCTCGGATTACCCAATGATTATTTCACGTAGGGAAACATTCCGATCTATAATTTATATCTTTTTAAATGAAGAATACAAATTAAATGTAACGATTAATAATGCAAATTATTAACTTAATTAAAAACTAAAATTAAATTCAATAATAGATTTTCCGCGATTTTGGATTTTAACAATCTGAATTTTAGACGGAGTTTGTATAACAACTTCCTAATAAAGAATTCCGATGGATTTGTAATTGACTGAACACCTGGAAAATAAAATGTCTATTCTAAAAATAAAATTGAAAAATAGTTGCGTATGCGTCTCTTCTACCGACGGAGAAGATTCATCAGGAAGTATTAGTTCCCGAACAGGTCACCGAGGACGGAGGCTACTTGTTCATGTACGATACAACGATATTCATTCGCATATATACGCGATACTGTTTACGTTGTTGAAATTGTTGCAGGTCATCGTCCCCGCTGCTCGCGGTATTCGCCTCTTAAAGGTCATTGTAACGCATATATATGCATGTAATACGGGCGTATATGTATAGAAAGTATAGAAGCAACAAGATCTTGCGCGTCGTTGATAAAACTTTCTCTCTCGTCATTGATAATCATCCTTTGTTCCGTGATTTTATTACGCCTAAATCGGTAACGGCGTAGTCTCGGAGACTACTGTTTTTGGAAGACTTCCCTGATTATTTACACAGACAGAGTTCCATCGTAAATACGTCTTTTTATTTAAATGATTCTCTGAAAAGGAGAGATCTTTTTAGCTCCTTTTTATTCTTCTTAATCTGGAACTTTTATCACGTATGATTCGGAGAAACCATTAATCAACAGGGAATCTTAGGATTTGTGTGTGTGTGTATGTATAATCCAAATTTTTATATAAAAATAAAATTATTCATTTAATTATTAATTATTTCTTACACATATACTAAACAGAAAAATTTGTACATGAAAATAAATGAGATGTAAAATTAAATGAAATGTTCCATAAGCTAGATAAGAAAAAATTGTAATTTACAAGAATATCTCTTGTTTTTTATTCGAGACGCTATTTTTGCATTGGAATTATAACGGAATTCCGTTGCATCGCGCGAATCGCTGGAGCAAGACGAAATCGCCAGGTCGCCTACGTCACTGGACGTGCCCCATGTGAGTATTATATCGGATCGTACTACTTTTTAACAGCCTTGAATAAAGGTTTTATAAAGCCTAATTGACGGTTTCCTCGTTCGACATTCATTTCATATGTGTGTGTGCGCGTGTATGGCCTCAATGATTTTCTTATCGCTACAGTTTTTACAAGGTGTCACGTGCTTGCAATCGGAATCCGTGTTTGTATATCGAACCCATATTTAATAATCGATATCTGACTCAACATTAACTTCCGCAGAGCTATTTAATATATGCGGAATAATATAATATATTCCAATATAATATAATATATTCCAATTTTATAAATTTTATTAATCCCAAATTTTGTACAATTTTTTTTTCTTTTACGAAAACGTACGATATACAATATAGTTCAAAATAAATATAATACAAAGGCTAGCGATTTCTCCAGATAAATCTGATGTTAATTAAGAATAACAATATCAGAGACAATGCTCTTCCTTTCGTTCGCTATAAAGCCTCATTTCAACAAAACACTTTTATCTCCATATTGACACGTGTCCTTCTCGTACGCAATCCAAACCGCGATTACATGCCTTGAATATCGAAAAACCAGTCGATTCAAGATTCGTGTAACTCATGCCATTTTCGAACTAAATCTCTCATCCAGTGCTTCGTCAGTTCCTCTTAAAAGTCGCTCTTTAACTTTTCCGAGGTGTGCATCGATCGTCATTGTGAATGTGACCCGGTGAACTATTATATTACCTCACCTGCTCGTTATCAATGAATGAACGCCTCGATAATGTCCTCGCGCGTATCTGTAATTGGAATCCGCGAAAAAGAAAGGGAGATACGAATCGCAATTGTGCATCTCGGAAATGGGAATTCGCTGAATGTGCCCAATCTACAAAACGTGGAAGAACTGATAAAGCCCTGTCGCGCGCAGTCAAATATATGTCAAGAATGCTTCTCAATCTTCTATTTTCTTATGATATTTGCTAAACGTAAGTAATTCTCGCACAAATATGCCACAAAATATTATACTTCAATTACATTTTATACAGTTGATTATGCAACTCGAAATTTTTACGATTGCAGAGGCTCAAAAAATTCTGGCAATGAAACAGACAAAGAAAAATCTTATTCGTCTTAAACAATTTTGAAATTTGATTTTATCATTAATTGAGAAAAATCATTTAAAAATTCATGGTCATACACAAAATTCTTTATATTAAAGATTAAAAACATATAATTAAAATTAAATTGAATGAATAACTAATTAAAAGAGAGCTTGCAATAAATGATTGTCACTAATGAATTTTTTATTAAAAAAGGATCGACTTTAAACATATCGTAAAACCTGTTTAAAAAAATATATCTGGGTACATATGAAATTTTTGGATATTTATAAAGATATCGCATCTTTTCGGCGTTTCTCATTCGGGCGAAAAGAAAGATCTCGAGTTAAGCAAGCGCTTCGATCACTGGCGTACAGTGGCCAAGCAAAGTATGTGATGCATTGCTCAGTTATGTACACTTTCATCGATGATGGTGTCATTCGTTTCTCATGTGTGTGAGGAGAGACTGCGTCTCGCATACCGCAAGGTCGCGGGACCGGATCAGGATCGACCCTTCGTTTTTTCGCCGCCCCGAGTAACCGATTCTTTTCTTCCTCTCTTTAATTGTAAGTATAAAAATTGTCCAAATTTTAAAATATATTACCACTCATAAGTATTTGCTTTTATTTTATAAAATTTAGAACTTTCTTTACACAAAATGGATCGCCAGAACTGTAAGCGTAAAGAAGATGATTTTTCAAACGGAAACAAATCGGAAATGTAGAATAAGATTATTTCATACAAGGTTGCATCCCCAAAAAAAAAAATATTGTAAAATTAATAAAATTAATAATATATTTATATTTTTTAAGCAATTATATATACAAAATACATCCAATTAATATTCTTTTCTTTTTTTTTTTTTTAAATGGGGTAATATAATGTATAGTAGCGATTGTCAAAATTATGTTAGAGAGAAAAGTGCGTTCTACAATTAAAAATCTCGGATGAAGTACTTATATGAGTGGAGAACACCTTATCACGTCGCTCTATTATTTTAATGTCACGATTATTCCGATTGACCTGATCCGTGATATTTCGAGACATGGTTCTCACAAAAAAAAGTTTACCGCTATGAAAATGTCATGTGAAAGCGCAGTTGCAATTGTACCTATTCGTTTTTTTGTGTATACACAGAAAAATATTATTCTATTGCTAAGTAAAATGATTACTCAGTTTACTTTACTTCTTTTTATTTTATCAAAGAAAAGTCGGATATGGTTAATTTAATGTAAGAAAATTTATTAGATCAGAAAAATTTAATGTATTTCTTTCAATTATATAATTTAATATTCTTGATTGAAGTATTAAATTTATTAGGATTCAGAATATATTTTGAATAAATTTGATACTTATGATGAACTTATGATAGATTTGCGAATATATGAACTTATGAAATACTTGAAACAAGTAATATTTACTTGTATATAGTATGTATTTTTCTGTGTGTATACATATATACAGATGCACACATACACATACGTAAACTTAAAAGGAGACACGGCACCTATAACATGATAAGTGCGGTAATAACGTGCACTTCCCGCTTTACGGTAAGAAGATAGAATGAAAGGAAGGAACACGTTGCTCTCTCGAGCGCCTCTTTAGCGTCTGATCTATATTTATCGTCAGTATTTACCGATGTATTCTAACAATAAGCGGCTGCGAAATCAAAGCTCGTGACTGATCAACAGCCGTAGAATTTCACGCAATAACGCATTCACGTCAAGATCTTATTAAAATTGATACATAATTCAGTAAGCTTGAATCTCGATAAGTTATAGAGCAACGATTCACGATTTTATCTTTAAAAATCTAAAAGCCTTGTAAAAACCTTGATAGCGGTTAGACTCTCTATTGGTTTCAAGTTGATAAGAAAATCTCTTCATAATTTAAATTAGACGTCAAACAAAATGATATAAATAAAATAAATAATTAATATTAAATTAATATTTTATTACTTAATATTAATATATTACGATATATGTGTATTGCAAGTGTGTATTGCAAATAGAAGTTTCTAATTTTAAATATGTACTCGCGTGAAAATTCAATAGAGAAATTCGTCGCATCATCGGAAATCATGCGAAAATGCTATATTACAAATGACGCACAATGTGTGCATGTATTGTTCGCGCGTATAAGTGCCGGTCTACAATAGGTGATTTAAGATTTAGCCTTTGTTTTAAGAGAAAAATTACATCGATCCTAGCCTCAAGCTCTAAGTTTTAAAAGATGGGAGTTGGTCAACTCGCTTAGGGCTTAGAGATTAGGGCTTAAGGCAGCGCGAGAAATGTTTAAGGCCGGAAATATGTCACAGTTTAGAGCTTAAGTCATAAGACTTAGGGATTAAATCGCCTATTGTAGACCGGCACTAAAGCGTTTGCGATTAGAAGCACGATCTTTGCACTCACGTGGAAGAATGGCGCGTGAACAGACGTCGAAAACGGGGATCCGGGCGGCGGAACGAACTAACGGGCAACCGGTAACGAAACAACGGGAAACGAGTCTTGTCTTGCGGCACCGCGCCGCTTGTTCCCCGACTTCCCGTCTTATAAGCGCCGCCAATTTTTCGTTGACCTATTTCGAGATATCGATTTACAGCCATTCTCGTTCTGCAGTCTATTGCATGTTTTCAGCATTTTAAAACGGAATAAGCTATGGCAGAAGGGGAAGGAAATGAGAGAGGGAATAAGGAGAAAAAAAGAGGAGAAGAGATTAAAAGGCAAAACGCAGGAAATGCAACCACATGCTGAAATACGATAATTAGTAATATAACAAATGAAACGTCAAATATAAAAATTTTACACATATATAATAAATGATAATAAATAATAGAAATGATCATAATGAATAATAACTAATAATTCACAATTATTGTTTATTATTCATGATTAATTTATTTTAAATTATTAAATGTATACATCGAAGTTATCATATAAGTAAAAATTATATGATCAATAAATAAGTTATGTATAATATTATATAATAAGAGAATTTGAAATTAATAAAAAGAGAAATCTAAAGAGTTATACCACATTTGAATGGTTAATGTTTTAATCCATGATTTTAAAAATGTACTGCACTTGCAAGTGAAGGAAGAGGTGCAACGGGCATTTAAAGTTGAATCGCTTAAAATTCTCATTCATTTTGGAGTTATCATAGTGTGCGTGGTACTGTTTACGCCTAATGTAACCCAGGTGAATAACAAGTAAAAGCATACGCGACATCCACATATACAGTCTGCGTATCGTACGCACTCTACAACACAAATCCAACGAAAAACGACTCACTCGGTTTCTCCTTACGAGTTGGCAAGGTCGTGGATAGTGCTGTCTGGCAGATAAGAGAGAGTGACACTCGCATCCGGTGGTGAAGGGTAACTCCTTCTCTTCCTCGCGATCGTTTTCCCCGCTTCACCAGAGATCATGAATCGATCTGTTCTTTCTACGTACACTCCTCGCTCTACGCTCATGGAACGAGGCCAGTGTGTTCGCGGCATAGACATAGTATATCTAGACCGAGCGTTTGCCTTTATTTAAGGAGTGGGGGCCGATGCCCACGTAGAAAAGGACATACTCTGTTTCATATTATTCTTAACATTATCTGAGCAGAGGGCTTAACAGTACCCTTTTTCTTATAAATTTGACACGTATCTTAAGGCCATGTTTAACGCGCATGCGCGAGAAAGCGTCCCCGAGAACAACATTGAGAGGGATAGACGACGGGCACAGGGCACAGGGCACAGGCCACAGGCAGGCAGACGGGCGAGAGCGCGAGAGGCACGAGCGCCTGTGTCGTCTGTGTCGTCGTCGTGTATGTGCATGCCTTCGTATAGAGCGTGCGGTGTCGAGTCCCGGTGTTGTCATGTCCTCGCGTAGCCGCGTCGCCGTAATAATATCGTGGCAGCCTTGCAACGAGGCGGCGCAAGTCGATCCTCGATTCGCGTGATCCGTCTCGCCGCTTCTCACTCACAGTTCCGACTCTGCGTAACGTCGTCGATGCCTTTGTTCGCGGCCGGACGGAGGAGGACGGGCGCGGATTGTCGTCGTAACGAGGCGAGGAAGAACGGAAGGACGAGGATGAGGACGATGACGACGATGTGTACGTATGGCTCATTCGAGTCCTTGATCTTAGGATGCACCCCGCGTTCGATTCTTACGAGCTCGTTCGGAATTATTAATTTATATGTTCATTCTTAATACATAGTATTGGAAGCATGTAAATAATTTTTCTTTGCGAAATATTCAAGAAGTTATTGCGTGGTTAAAAATATTTCCCGTGCTTTTCCTGGATGTCTCGCCTAAAAATTGTTAATATTAAAGTCATCTTTATATCGACATTTTATTTTAAAATGGAATTTTTAAGTTCTTAAAAAAGAAACGGACTGTACAACTATCGTGAGAGTTGAGTCTCATTTATGTGCGTTATGAAATTTTTAACTTATTTATTACAGTGCATCCTAGAGTCAAGGGACAGACAAATAAAGTGCACCGCGCACCAGCAATGAGGCACACGTGCTGCACCGACAAGGAAATTACAAGCCACGTGAATTAGATATTGAAAAAAATATAAGAAATATGTATAAGCAATATCTCGTCGTTGTGGAGAAAATAAAAAAATCGGCAGATTATCGCGTCATAAGATGATTCAAGCTAAAGTTACGTACCGATTTAATCGGATTAACGCCAGGTATTCAGGTCGAAACGCAACAGATGTTGAAATACTTCGCACTCGTAATTAGATAACGTCATACGGATGCAACTATGGCTGGATCTTATGCATTCACAGCATCATACTTTATCTCGATGTTTGCACGCTGTAAAAAAACTACAATGAACAAAGCGAAACATAACATTATCAATTGAAGGAGCAATTTTAAAAAATTGAAAAAATTAATTGTAGAGAATTATATATTGAGAAAAGTAAATTTTTTTAAAAATTAATTTTATCAAGTTTAAGAAAAGAGAATTTTATAAGACTATTATTGGTTTGAGTCCTTCAATTGAATCCGTAATTTTATTATTTTATATTCTTGTTATAATAGGAATCTTTTTTTAGCATCTCATGTTGATCGCTGAACGTTTTGTTACAGTAAAAAGAGCAACAACATGGTGGACGCAGCGGTTCTGGACAAGTTGGAGTCTGGCTATGCCAAGTTGGCGGAATCCGATAGCAAGTCATTGTTGAAGAAACACTTGACGAAGGAGGTCTTTGATCAACTCAAGACCAGGAAGACTTCATTCGGCTCCACTCTTCTGGATGTTATCCAATCTGGTTTGGAGAACCATGATTCCGGCGTCGGTATCTATGCGCCCGACGCCGAGGCGTATACAGTCTTCGCTGAAATCTTCGATCCAATCATCGATGATTATCACGGCGGCTTTAAGAAGACGGACAAACATCCGCCCAAGGACTTTGGCGACGTCGATTCCTTCGGCAATCTCGCGCTATGATGCGTGTTATCTCCTTTTTGTGGTATACATTTTTTGGCATAAATTAGTAAAGGAAAATTAGTTTGAGGTAATATTATATGTATAATTATAATGAAGTTTATATATATCACTGACAAAAAAATTTAAAAAAAAGTACATTTATTTTATTTGTTAAACTCTTATTAATTTCTATTATTTTTCCATTATTTATTATTTATATAATATATATATTATATTTTTCTTTTCTTATAAATCTACTGAAAATAAGGATGTCATAGACTGGCGAGAGGAAACAAAAAAAAGTGCTATAAAAAGGAGAAGATTACAGAGAGCAGCTTGCATCGTATTCTGCGCGTTGTATTTGACAGTATTTTAATTTCGTTCAATTGTTCCTTTTTTTGTTTTTAATACGTAATTTCGAAAAATTGAGAATGTTCTCGAGGCAATGTATCCGTTCGCGATTCTCTCGTTCGATTCTTCTTTTTTGTCGCAATCGCGCTATTACATTCGTTACAGATGACGCATAGTCACGCGCGTTTCCACACACTTATTGTTAGTACTGCTCTAGTGCTCTAGTGCTAGTCCCCGCAATTCGTCGTGATTGTCTATTAAACGAAAGATAATAAGGAAAAAGAAAGGGAAGAAGTCGTCGCTGTTTAAGAAATATTCCTTCGACGACAATTTTTAATGGTTCGTTTTGCGATCTTTATGGAACTTTGAGGATCGAGAGTACTGTTTTTCGGTGCTCTGCGGTTTTCTAGTCTGCGAATGGTTAAACGACATTCACATGTTTTTTCATTCTCTTTTTTACCACGTGAGAGGTTGGGAAGGAGAACATCTGGGCGACGGATATTACACGCACTAAAAACACACGCGAGTAAGCGCTGCGACATATTATAGACACAGTGTACTATCAACTGATTCGACAAGATGTACGATGAGAATGCAAATAATGAGACACGAAAATAAAAAGACATACACATTATGTATAATGTTGCGTATTTTATTTTCTCTCGATCTTATTTCTGACTTATATTATTTTATACGAATCCTGAAGACATCCGTTATAATCTTGAATTGAGAGAGAAAGATTATAGCGCTTCACTACATATTTTTAATTCATTATCTAGGTGACGATTTATTTATAATAATATATAAATTGTTATACTCTTTTTTTTTAATATATATCTGCTTTGCTAAGAGATTAT